TGCTATAAGAACGGCGACACCTGAAACATAACATGGTACTGTCATGTTGTAAACCTTAAAATGTCACCTGGGACGCCTGGCATAGCTGCCTAATTTCCCAAACTAAAACAAGAGTCATCAGAAGATGACTAACCCCCGGCCCCCAAATATTCGAAAGCACAAATCATCTGACTGTCACATTAAGTCCATCTTGATGAGAGTATTTCTCTCTAATCTGTCTGTCCGTATACAAGAGTAGTTATTGAGCTATCAAAACAATACCATGGAATTGGGATTCAGAACTTTGTATTTCTATGTCAGGTACACACCAATATGAACAGTCAAAATCAAAGTTGTTGACATGGAAATCAAGAAAAATTAAAATCTGCAAATAACAAAAGACACCATCATCAGGATCTGTTTGATATATCTGCCAAGTTTTGTTGATGAACGGTTTTCGAGTTACTCTCCATAAACCAAAAACAAGTGAAACTAGCAATTGTGTCCTTGTCCAACTTCTTTCCATAAAGATTTGTAATGAAAAAAAATTTTAATTACAAAAAAGCAAAAGGCACCACTTCAGCCCGTGACTGATACATTTTTCAAGTTTCGATCAAACATACTGAATGGTTTTCGAATTCTGCCCCAGAAACAAACCCCATCCCAAATCGAGTCTATGTCCAACTTCTTTCCATATAAATTTTTAAAAATACAAATTCGAAAAATCCCAAAATATCAAAAGGCACCACTTCAGTATGTGACTGATAGATTTGCCAAGTTTCGACCAAATGCACTGAATGGTTTTCGAGTTCTGCCCCGGAAAAGGAAATGATTACGGACAGACAGACAGACAGGCGGACGGACGGACAGACAGACAGACTGGCTGATCGCTATATCCCCCTGCATTATATGCCGGGGGAATAATTAGTATTTTGTTAGAATCTTCTGTGTTCGAGACATCAAAGACTGATGATATGTACCATACAACCATTGGATTCCGCAACTCAGTTAATAATTTTATAGCTTATTTTCTATTTCGACTACAGCAACTTCCGTAATAAAAGTGGGCTGTCATAATTGGACAGATTGGCTTATCATTTATATGAATTAAAGAGGAAATTGTATTTTCGTATATGAGTTGCATATTTGTAACAAATATACGAAAAATTCAGGACAGATTCAGGACCCAGGAGATATTGCTTGACCTCACCCAGGACACATTCCTTGACCTCACCCAGGAGATATTCCTTGACCTCACCCAGGAGAAATTGCTTGACCACACCCAGGACACATTGCTTGACCTCTCCCAGGAGATATTGCTTGACCTCACCCAGGACACATTGCTTGACCTCACCCAGGATGATATTGCTTGACCTCACCCAGGAGATATTGCTTGACCTCACCCAGGAGATATTGCTTGACCTCACCCAGGACACATTGCTTGACCTCACCCAGGACACATTGCTTGACCTCACCCTGGAGATATTGCTTGACCTCACCCAGGAGATATTGCTTGACATCACCCAGGACACATTGCTTGACCCAGTCAGGACATATTGCTTGACATCACCCAGGAGATATTGCTTGACCTCACCCAGGAGATATTGCTTGACCTCACCAAGGAGATATTGCTTGACCTCACCCAGGAGATATTGCTTGACCTCACCCAGGACACATTGCTTGACCTCACCCAGGACACATTGCTTGACCTCACCCTGGAGATATTGCTTGACCTCACCCAGGAGATATTGCTTGACATCACCCAGGACACATTGCTTGACCCAGTCAGGACATATTGCTTGACATCACCCAGGAGATATTGCTTGACCTCACCCAGGAGATATTGCTTGACCTCACCCAGGACACATTGCTTTACCTCACCCAGGACACATTGCTTGACCCAGTCAGGACATAGTGCTTGCCATCACCCAGGAGATATTGCTTGACCTCACCCATTAGATATTGCTTGACCTCACCCAGGACACATTGTTTGACATCACCCAGGACATATTGCTTGACATCACCCAGGACATATTGCATGACATCAACCAGGACATATTGCATGACATCAACCAGGACATATTGCATGACATCACCCAGGACATATTGCATGACATCAACCAGGACATATTGCATGACATCACCCAGGACACATTGCTTGACCCAGTCAGGACATATTGCTTGACATCACCCAGGACATATTGCTTGACATCACCCAGGACATATTGCTTGACCTCACCCAGGACATATTGCTTGACCTCACCCAGGACATATTGCTTGACCCAGTCAGGACATATTGCTTGACCTCACCCAGGAGATATCTCCTGAGGAAGACAGTTTGGAATGATAAATATAACATGACACAATGCTTCTTTGAAGTGACACAGTGAGTTTGAATGGTATTTCAGTTATATCATGGTGTGTCAGCTTGATCTGGGCGGAATGCCCGAACTGATGCAGCAACATGATGAAACCCACAAGCCTGTGCCCCTTCGTGATCTATTATCCTACATCACACCTGGTGTTAACTGTAAACTTTAAACATAACTAGCATTAAATCTGAAGCCGACTTGTGCACAAAGCATAATTAGTGACCTAATGCATGAAGCAGTTATTCACTGTCTAGCACAGGAGGGTGCCACACTTCACACAACTATACATGACAGCCATTGAGAGAGGTGTAAATTGATGCCTGCATATAGCACTGTCAGCATTCAAGGTATATCTGTAGTCCTGTATTGACAGTGAGTGGGTGAGTAATTAATTAGCCATGCCATTTGTTGCAGTATTAGACATATCAGAGGATTTTGAAGATTGACTTCACACATTGTACCCACGTTGGGAATCAAACCAAGTCCTGCTTTACGAAAGAAAACCTGACCACTGAGCTCCCCCACTTATCCCTTGCTATGAGATGTTCGACTAAAGGTTTCAATTAGTCTATTAAAGAGCCTGTGAATAGACTGTTGCTAAATTCACACAGCGGATGAATCTGTAAAACACCAAAAGTGTATATGCTGGGGATTGCTAGTGTATATAAGTTGGGCCAAGTAAAGTCAGGTCGGGTCAGGTCGGGCCGGGCCGGGCCAGCGGGTAATACTAAACCCTTTTGCAATCCTTTTGTGGAATCACTACCTCGTATATTCACATGCATATAAAAATTGAGGTATACATTCCATATTTCATGTTATACGTCATTGTGTTGATAATTAACATAACCAACATGTTTGTATAAATGCTACAATCTGTGACACTATAAAGCGGCATTTAGGTACATTAAATAGTCTTCTTTATATTAAAACCCATTCCATGATGCAGCTGTAAGGTGTAAGTTGATTTAGGTGAGAAACACTGCGGGGGCCATGTTGCGAATATAGAGGAAATAAGGTTTCACTTTGATGAACGAGTCCTTCTTATATACGAATTAAAGTCTACTTCGTTTGGGTAGATTAAAACTTGTTCTGTAGATAACACATTTCATGATACATCATACACCAAATTGGACCAAACACTTGAGATTCCCATCATTGAGATGTGAGAGGAAAATGAAATGGCTTTCTTTAACTTTCTTGCTTACAGGAGCTGAATGCCATATATAATGTCATCTTATCTTCGTATATAGTTAGATACAGCTATGTGGACAGATGAAAATTTATATTACTATAGTTGGAAGTATATGATACAATTCAAATCCTATGTTGTTTACGAATCCTCTTTTACATGTAACCTAGATCAGCCACACACACCAACTGCTCAACTTCCGGATTTCAAGCGATTTACTCACAATAACTTACTTCTGTTGCATGTTTGTGGTTCGTGATGGCTCATTAATGTCATGTGTATATTGTGAATAAATAATATGTAGGTACAATTGTCGATAATAGAGTAAGTGGCCAATAATAACGCTAGCCAGCCTTGGCCCGGCCTGGCCAACTTTTAGGCAACCCTGATTGTTGGTCATCACAGTACAAACTCACTGATCACACAAAAATGATCAGATTTTTAGACTGTTGAACACCAAAGTCATGTTGTAAGAAGAAATTTGACCAATTTCGATCATATGGAAAGTGTGTGAATCTTACAAGGTTAGCTATCACAAACAGGCTAATGACTTCAATTTACACCTCTCAGCCAATCACTGTCATCGGATGTCACCTGACCTGCACTATCATGTAGAGGAACATGAGAGGAATCATCACACAGAGGAACAATGGTGTCGTCGTGCTGATGATAATAATGACTGCCAATACAGCAATGATGCTGGTGATGAGGTAAAATGTCGTTGGTGCCAATAAAATGTCTACAACATCCACATCCTTTGCAAAACGATTGAGAACACGCCCGAGCGGAGTAGTATCAAAGAAGGACATTGGGGAGGAGAATACATTGTCCAGCATAGCACTATGCAGTGTCCGCCCAGCGCGGATATGGCCCAGGTAGAGTGCTACGCTTGCAATAAAGATGGCGACACCTGAAACATAACATGGTTAGGTCATGTGGTAAACCTTGAAATGTCACCTGGCATTCCTTAGCATGATGTGTGGGGAAAGCCTGAAGTGATACAGGTCCTAAATGTTTACCACTTTGGTGAAACCCACGAGTATGGTGAAGACAAACCTAGAAACATCTCAGGGCAAACCAGGATTCAAACCTACAATTATAGGATTCTGGCGTGCACAAGGGACGCACCACAGACAACTGGGTCGCCTGAGCCTTCCACATTCTGTAAGAAACAGAAACCACTGAAACAGGACATCATGCAAAAACACATTAAGATTCATTCTGTTGACGCTGCACTCAGCAATATTCCAGCTGTATGAAGGCAGTTTGTACATAATCAAGTCTGTTTCAGACAACCCGAGTTTGACTGAGTAACATCCCATGCCTTTGTGTACTGATAACACGCATCAACCATGTCACCAAGTCTGACCCTTGATTGCCTCTTGTGGCAAGCCTTGGTTCCTGGGATCAAGCATAACACAGAACATTCACAGATCTCATTATGGTAGATGGAATTGTACCTTGAGAAAATCCCAGAGCTGCATACACGCCTAGCCTCATGTCCCGTTGTGCAGTGTTGGTGTGGTTGAACCTCTCGGCATCATTACTCCAGTCGCTGAGCCAGACGTTGGAGCCGATGCTGGCGGCATTGTACAGGAGGTAGAAGAGAAGGATGATGGCTGACAGGATGGGACCAATAGCCTTGATGTAGGCCATGAACACACCTAACTTCACCTGAAGACAGAGACAGAGGTTATACACACAAGGCAACTTAGAGTGAGTGACTGAGCTGGGTTTATGTCTCTTTGTATGTTTGATGTTTAACACCCCACTCTTTGTATGTTTCATGTTTGACACCCCACTCTTTGTATGTTTCATGTTTAACACCCCACTCTTTGTATGGTTGATGTTTAACACCCCACTCTTTGTATGTTTCATGTTTGACACCCCACTCTTTGTATGGTTGATGTTTAACACCCCACTCTTTGTATGTTTCATGTTTAACACCCCACTCTTTGTATGTTTCATGTTTAACACCCCACTCTTGGTATGTTTCATGTTTAACACCCCACTCTTTGTATGTTTGATGTTTAACACCCCACTCTTTGTATGTTTCATGTTTGACACCCCACTCTTTGTATGTTTGATGTTTAACACCCCACTCTTTGTATGTTTCATGTTTGACACCCCACTCTTTGTATGTTTCATGTTTAACACCCACCTCTTTGTATGTTTCATGTTTAACACCCCACTCTTTGTATGTTTCATGCTTAACACCCCACTCTTTGTATGTTTGATGTTTGACACCCCACTCTTTGTATGTTTCATGTTTAACACCCCACTCTTTGTATGTTTGATGCTTAACACCCCACTCTTTGTATGTTTGATGCTTAACACCCCACTCTTTGTATGTTTCATGTTTAACACCCCACTCTTTGTATGTTTCATGTTTAACACCCCACTCTTTGTATGTTTCATGCTTAACACCCCACTCTTTGTATGTTTCATGTTTAACACCCCACTCTTTGTATGTTTCATGTTTGACACCCCAATCTTTGTATGTTTGATGTTTAACACCTCACTCTTTGTATGTTTGATGTTTGACACCCCACTCTTTGTATGTTTCATGTTTAACACCCCACTCTTTGTATGTTTCATGTTTAACACCCCACTCTTGGTATGTTTCATGTTTAACACCCCACTCTTTGTATGTTTGATGTTTAACACCCCACTCTTTGTATGTTTCATGTTTGACACCCCACTCTTTGTATATTTCATGTTTAACACCCCACTCTTTGTATGTTTCATGTTTAACACCCCACTCTTTGTATGTTTCATGCTTAACACCCCACTCTTTGTATGTTTCATGTTTGACACCCCACTCTTTGTATGTTTCATGTTTAACACCCCACTCTTTGTATGTTTGATGCTTAACACCCCACTCTTTGTATGTTTCATGTTTAACACCCCACTCTTTGTATGTTTCATGTTTAACACCCCACTCTTTGTATGTTTCATGTTTAACACCCCACTCTTTGTATGTTTCATGTTTAACACCCCACTCTTTGTATGTTTGATGTTTGACACCCCACTCTTTGTATGTTTGATGCTTAACACCCACTCTTTGTATGTTTCATGCTTAACACCCCACTCTTTGTATGTTTGATGCTTAACACCCCACTCTTTGTATGTTTTATGTTTAACACCCCACTCTTTGTATGTTTCATGCTTAACGCCCCACTCTTTGTATGTTTGATGCCTAACACCCACTCTTTGTATGTTTCATGTTTAACACCCCACTCTTTGTATGTTTGATGTTTGACACCCCACTCTTTGTATGTTTGATGCTTAACACCCCACTCTTTATATGTTTGATGCTTAACACCCCACTCTTTGTATGTTTCATGTTTAACACCCACCTCTTTGTATGTTTCATGTTTAACACCCCACTCTTTGTATGTTTCATGCTTAACACCCCACTCTTTGTATGTTTGATGTTTGACACCCCACTCTTTGTATGTTTCATGTTTAACACCCCACTCTTTGTATGTTTGATGCTTAACACCCCACTCTTTGTATGTTTGATGCTTAACACCCCACTCTTTGTATGTTTCATGTTTAACACCCCACTCTTTGTATGTTTCATGTTTAACACCCCACTCTTTGTATGTTTCATGCTTAACACCCCACTCTTTGTATGTTTCATGTTTAACACCCCACTCTTTGTATGTTTCATGTTTGACACCCCAATCTTTGTATGTTTGATGTTTAACACCTCACTCTTTGTATGTTTGATGTTTGACACCCCACTCTTTGTATGTTTCATGTTTAACACCCCACTCTTTGTATGTTTCATGTTTAACACCCCACTCTTGGTATGTTTCATGTTTAACACCCCACTCTTTGTATGTTTGATGTTTAACACCCCACTCTTTGTATGTTTCATGTTTGACACCCCACTCTTTGTATGTTTCATGTTTAACACCCATCTCTTTGTATGTTTCATGTTTAACACCCCACTCTTTGTATGTTTCATGTTTAACACCCCACTCAGTTATATTCCAAGTATTGGATGACGGCCTGAAAATAATCACGTCTGGATGAGACAAACCAGTGATCAATACTGTCAACAATGGTCAACACCTTCGGGTACTATGAAAAGCCATCAACCAAGTCAGCGAGCCTGACCACTGAATCAGCCATTACGACATAGGTTGGTGGGGACCAGTTCTAACCCAGTAAGACCAAGGGTGTATGTTGCTGACATTTCAGTCATTTCACAGTTTGTCATCTTGGTGAGTGAGGAAGCGAATGAGTGAGTAAGCGAGTATGGTTTTACGTGGATTTTACCAACACTTCAGCAACATCATGACGTGGGACACCAGGAGTGGGTTTCACATATTTTACCCATTTGGGGATTCGAACCCAGGTCTTCGGTGTGACGAGCTAACGCCTTTACCACTGGGCTACCCATGAAGCAACAAGAAATATTGCTGTACATAACATGGTTTACAAAATAAACTATTGTGAAAATATACACAAATTTTGAAAAATAACCACTTTACTGATTTCACACTTCTTATAACACCATCCATTCACATCACATCATGGAGGCAAACCAAGACTGGACCATATACTTGTACCCATGATGATGGCTTTAACAAAAATGCCACACATCGGGTTAGGCATGCCATACACTAGTCTGCTAGTCCCAAGACAATCTGGACAAAATACTTTTTTCCACAAATGTTGATATCTGTTAGGAGCAACTAGTATGAAATAAGCTGTTAACTCATGAAATCTACCCCTGCATAAACTGGCTTCATATTAAGTTTCAGTTGAAAGAGCACCATCCAGATAACATCAATACTGGGCTAAACAAATATGCTGATTATGACTGAACCCATTCCAAGTAAGAACCCACTCTATGTCCACTAGGCGGTCAGGTAGCCTAGTGGTGAAAGCGTTCGCTCGTCATGCCGAAGACCCTGGTTCAATTCCCGACATGGGTACAATGTGTGAAGCCCATTTCTGATGTCCGCCGGCATTATATTGCTGGAATATTGCTAAAAGCGGCGTAAAACCATACTCACTAACTCACTATGTCCACCATCTTACCCTGCCCGTCTCCACTCCCTCGGCCTGTATCAGTTTGTCTTCCTGCTTCTTGCCATCTGCTTCAGTCTCATTGACCTTGACTTTGCTGATGGCATCAAGATGGTGGTCAGACTTCTGTCGGAGATCGTGAGTGGAGTTGAGGGTATGGCTACTGCCGTGTGTGTGATCCGATTCTGTGCGAATACGCTCCGATATCTTTGAAACTTGTCTGTAAACAAAGTCACAGAATTATGCAACAGAATCAAGTCGCCATAAATGAAATTATACAACTTCGAATTATGCAATAAAGGTCATCTAATGTCATTGACAGCGTCAGTAAAATTCGTTTCATAAGTGATAGTGAGGTGTAGTGGAGAGAAGACATCAACACTTCAACAATTGCTGAAACAAACCTACGTCTGAAGATCCTTTGTGTCATCCAGTACTGAACCAAGTTGAGACAAGATCTCTTCTCGTAGACTCACATCTGAAATTCAAACATGAGTATGTTATTCCAGTGCAATTAAGATACACATGAGGGGTGGCTGAAAATCTGTAAAGAAGACACAGCCAACACATTCACAAAGACGTTTGAGGTGTGAGCCCATCTACAAAGGATGTACAGTACACCGTCAACAGTTTGCATGAATTAAGTACATACTCTCCATACTCACAGGCTTCATTTGAACCAAATACACAACCAGAAAGCATATTTCTGCAGACATCAAACGACCTGGTATTGTGCTTGAAGATGATCCAAGATCAGGAAGACCTTCAACTGCCACCACTAATGAAAATGTTGACAAAAACATTATGCCAATACAGTAGGCACTTCTCAGGAGAAAGTTGAGAATATTTTGAGGAATGAACTGGGCATGACACATGTTTCAGCACGATGGGTTCCAAGGCTTCTTTCTGAAACAGAAACGTTCCAGGTTCATCATTTCTCAAGCTCATTTTGAGAGATTTTCAACCATGGATGAGCCTTGGGTTCCCCCCTATCAGCCAGAGACTAACAACAGTCCTGCTGTGGGGGACATTTTACACCATCAGGAGAAAGCCTTTTATACCAGATGGATCCAGTCAGAACAGCATCATTGGCAGAAGTGTGTGGACCTCAGAAGGGATTATGATGAATGCATTCCATCAAAGCTAGGCTCAGAAGATTTCTGCAACCCTTCATACCTCTCAGAATGCAATGTACAAGCCATAGTAGTGAGTGTTGCTATGGAGTCCACCCATCCAAACCAGTGGTTGATAACATGAATACTCATCCATGACGTTTGGGTGTGATGACCCAGTCAGCCCAGTAACACACTGTAACCACTCCATCATAACACTGGACGTGTTTTCTAGAAGCATGGGGTAGTGGGGACCTATTATGTCCCTGAATCTCCAACAAAGTTAACTACAAAGAGTATGAGTTCCTACCTTCCATGTCCCCGAGATCCTCCCCCTTGTCATCCCCCCCAAGCTCCTCAGTCAGGTAGTTCTTGAGGAACTCCGCGAAGGCGCCTGCGTGGTCCATGAGCTCCCCGAAGGACCCAACCTCAGACACTTTCCCGTCAACCAGCACCACGATCTTGTCCACCCTTGGCAGGTAGCTGATGCCGTGGGTAACCAGGATTCTGGTCTGAAACCGAGAACACTCTTGAACACGCTCGACATTGATATTGGATGGACAAACATAAGGCTGAAAAAGGTAAATCAGTCATAGTATTTTTTTGTAGTTTGCAATATAAACTTTCATACAAAAAGCCGATGTCATCATAAAATATGCACTGGTTCTGAGTTACAGATAACGGGAGTCATCTTTTGAAGTACTGTTTCTGAAGTATGAAGTGTTTTTCCCGAATCTTGGCATGTGCAATTCAAAGAAAAAGAAACAAAAACCTTTCAGGTTAGTAATACCTACCTTGCCAGAAAGCATTCCATCTGGGCCTAAGACATTGTCGAAGATGTGTTTGCCAACGTGGGAGTCAACAGCGCTGAGGGGGTCGTCAAGCAAGTACACATCGGTGTTCTGGTACACGGCTCGGGCTATAGCAACCCGCTGCTTCTGTCCACCGCTCAGGTTGATGCCCTGCCACCAGGATAGACAGGACAGGGTGAAACAGGGCACAGAGGTGGGCACAGTGGTGGGCACAGTGGTGGGCACAGGGTTTTACACAACACACAACAGTGTGTCCAGAAAGCACAACTATAGAGAATGGTTGCAGAAAACAATATACTGCATCCAATTGTACCTACATGTGTTTGTGTGATCAGAGGACCCTTACACAAGGCAATCTGTCGTAAGTCAGTGGTTTACTTGTCTGTGTGGTCAGAGGACGGTTACACAAGGCAATTTGTCGTAGGTCAGTGGTGTACCGAGTCCTGTGTGGTCAGAGGACGGTTACACAAGGCAATTTGTCGTAGGTCAGTGGTTTACTTGTCTGTGTGGTCAGAGGACGGTTACACAAGGCAATTTGTCGTAGGTCAGTGGTTTACTTGTCTGTGCGGTCAGAGGACGGTTACACAAGGCAATTTGTCGTAGGTCAGTGGTGTACCTATGTCAGTGTGGTCAGAGGAACGTTACACAAGGCTATCTGGCGTAAGTCAATGGTATGTCTGTGTCTGTGTTGTCAGAGGACGGTTACACAAGACAATCTGTTGTAAGTCAGTGGTGTACCTGTGTCTGTGTGGTCTGTGTGCAAGTTACAACATTCAGTGGCAGTGGTAAAAGATTTTGAACTTTTGCAAAAACCGAACTGAAAACCATTTATGCTTGTGTTCCGTTTTTGCCTTTTGCCAATCAAAAGAGAAAATGTCAAACCTGATTGTATATGCCAACAGACTGAATCTAAATTAACTTGTCATGCAAGTCAAACTAGCTAAAAGCAAATTTGTATGGTATCGTGGCTCATGAATCGAGATAAGTACCTATACATGAGGTAGTTGTATAGTGGCACCCCTTCTACATACAAACAATGTTGCTCCCGGACAATACTGGTCTTCCATTCACTCACCTTCTCCCCAATCTCCGTCTGGTCACCGGCCGGCAACATCTCAATATCGGGGTCCAGGGCACACGCCCCAACCACTTTTCTGTATGCTTCATCATCAGACGTCTCCCCAAATAGGACGTTGTCCTTCAGCGTAGCATTCTGTATCCAGGGTTGCTGGGACACATAGGCAACACTCCCCTGGAACATGTACACACATGGTGAACCTCCCTCACACGCTAGTGGGATCGTTTGGGATCTTTACACTGTAGCATGCAACACTTGCTGTATCAATACTGTCGACTGTAAAACTTATGATATCAACAGCCTGCAACTTTAGACACTAGTCCAAAGCCTGAGTCTAGTAAAATTCTGTTTGGTCTCGTAAGCTCAGCTAATAATAGTCCACATGATAGCACAAAATTCTCCTGAAAATGATGTAAAAGCCAAATTCAGGCTAGTAGTCTTGAAAGTTTTGTTTGGCACAGGCAGGATAAATAATGTAACATGCATGATTTGTAATATCAATACTATCACCTGTAGAACTTCTTTCACTGGCATTTAGAAGTTGGTGTGATGAAGAAAGACAAGTTCTATGGATGAACAACTTCTTTATTATTGCCAAATCCCTATTCATCCAATTAATCCACTGGCTTCCAATCATCCCAATCAGCTTCCGTGGTTGTTTACCCTACCCCATTAGTCAATCCTTGGCTTCCAATTTACTGTATAAACATTGATGTTAATAAGTTTATATACCTATGTTGTCCAGCACTATCCATCACTTGCTTGATAAAGGTGTTAGGATCTACACCGAAACGTCGCACTAATTGTAATAAAGAAGTTGTTCATCCATAGAACTTGTCTTTCTTTATCACCTGTAGAATTTAGGGGCATAGTGTAACGTGCAGGATTTGTCTATGAGTCATGGCAATATTCAACTATCACTGCAAGCCACTGACCTTGACATTGACCGTGCCTGATATCCGGTCCATCTCCCCCAGGAGAGCGGACAGCAGGGAGGACTTGCCTGCCCCTACCACCCCCACCACCGCCACCAGGGACCCCTCCTCCACAGAGAAGTTGATTCTGGAATCAAACAACAATTGTTTATTTACTTGAATCTATGGATCTGACAAATGTTGAGGAGAGGTGAAATGCGGTTTGATATTGAGTTCAAGATTATTGAACAGAAGTTTAACATGGATACCCCACACAGTTTACCGACTCCGAGCCAACCAGTCATTGTTTTATCCCATTAATTCAGCCAGGCCACGTACTATATTTTAACGTCTTTTTGTATGATGTGTCGGGGGTAGATCAATCAAGAAAGAGAATTAAATACTGACTTTTTAAAACAATTTCGGTCTTTTGTTTTTTTTACCCCTCCATAAAATTGTGTTCTGAGATCACTCCAAGTGAGTGAGTATGGTTTTTACGCCGCTTTTAGCAATATTCCAGCAATATCACGGCGGGGGACACCAGAAATGGGCTTCACACACTGCACCCATGTCTTCGGCGTGACAAGCGAACACTTTAACCACTAGGCTACCCAACCGCCCAAGATCACTCCAAAAAGATGATTGACCACTGACTGTTACAAAAATATGTAAGCCAAACGAACCAAAAGAAAGGAGCCAAATGGAATGGTGCGATGGACGTTAACACACTCTCTAATACAGAGATACAGTAAGCTACGTTTCTTACGACCGCCCTTATAAGGAACTGACCGATATAACCACCTTATTGTTTAGTCCCGGTCATTTGTTGTTTATATGCTGTATATATATGCTTAAAATCAACGGTCCCTTTGAGTTCGTTATACATGTAACCATAGTTTACTGTATACAGACTTCCTAACAAATCTTTCATGGTGAGTTGGAGATACTTTTCAATGACCATATCAAGAACCAGTGTGAACCAGGATTAGGGTCAAACCCAAGCACCTGTTGATCACACATTCCTAAAACATACTGATACATATGACATCCGTGACAACAGACAACCTGAGACAATCCTGCTGCTTCTCCCGTGAGGAGCCTCTAGTCACTACTTACCCTTTGAGGGTAGTGGCTGCCTCTGGGTCCCAGGTGAACACCCCATTGTCAATACTCACAGCCAATTCTGGAACATCAAGTATAATCTACATGATCAACATGGCCGGAAGTCTTTAATATGTAAGAATTCACTTCAAAACTTTTGCGATTATGGAGATAATGATATGAACATAAAAAAAACAGTACAAAATCCCAAATCCATGTAGCAGTTTCTTACAAAGGGTTTAAGTTTATAACTCCATAAATACAAAAACAGTGTAGTCAATTGTAGTGTGTAGTGCTTTCATTCTTGTTTGCCCTATTTATGAACATATTCACTCAAAATATTTCCCATATTTAGACTTTATTTCTGGTAATAATCGTAAAGACATACTACAGTCAAGTCCCGTTAATATGAAATGGTTGGTTGCAAATGATTATGTCGGATTAACGAAATTAAGTAGTATCAATGTTCGTGATAAAAAATAGGACAACAACACAATAGATAACGATACAAACATGTCATAAAAATATGAAAAATGAAATATTCATAATGTTATGTTACATTGTCAGCAGCATATGTTTTCTAATCATGCAACCTCTAAAGCTTAACACAAAAAAACTGTTAGGGAATGTATGACTTATTCAAAATACTTTAAAAAGTTTTGCCTGGAATGGAAAAAACTGGTACCGCAAAGCTAAGAAAGCTGCTTTCGAGTAGCTAACGTTGACTTACTGTTAGTCATTTCATTGGTCTGACACAGTTCGCGAAAGGTTGTTCTGATGTGACCTGTATCAGGATGTTCTCAGCGATAGCGAGAACTTGTATCTGGCTTTAATGTGATTGAGATAATCTAAGCATGTGATTAATCCTGTTTTCTTTATTTAAAGCATTAATTGTTTATTGTAAAGTAAGTTTATCTCTGCAGCCGTTGTAATATGCAACTACCAGGCGACTCATCTCGCATCAAAACACTGGCTGTGTACTACGCTGATCACTGTGTCGGATTAACGAGACTGATTAATGAGTGATTTCGGTACATTGTTGCAAATTAGGTGGGTCAGAGTTGGAGTGCTAGACTGTCTGATTAACGGGTCTAAATAGCACTGATTTAATCAGTTCCCATTATTAGTGTCAGATAAGAGACTTGACTGTAGTTAAAATGTTAAACTCTTCTGATGTAAACTGTCTTCAGAACTTAGCCAGTTATGTTAAAGATGCTATGGTGGTAAGACTCACTGTCTGTGATGGTACATGTTTAACACATTGTAGATATACGACTCACTGTCTGTGGTGGTACATGTGTAACACATTGTAGAAAAGACTGTAAGACTCACTGTGTGTGGTGGTACATGTGTAACACATTGTAGAAAAGACTGTAAGACTCACTGTCTGTGGTGGTACATGTGTAACACATTGTAGACATAAGGCTGTAAGACTCACTGTGTGTGGTGGTACATGTGTAACACATTGTAGAAAAGACTGTAAGACTCACTGTCTGTGGTGGTACATGTGTAACACATTGTAGACATAAGGCTGTAAGACTCACTGTCTGTGGTGGTACATGTGTAACACATTGTAGAAAAGACTGTAAGACTCACTGTCTGTAGTGGTACATGTGTAACACATTGTAGACATAAGACTGTAAGACTCACTGTCTGTGTGTGGTACATGTGTAACACATTGTAGACATAAGACTGTAAGACTCACTGTGTGTGGTGGTACATGTGTTACACATTGTAGATATAAGACTCACTGTGTGTGGTGTAACACATTGTAGACATAAGACTGTAAGACTCACTGTGTGTGGTGGTACATGTGTAACACATTGTAGACATAAGACTGTAAGACTCACTGTGTGTGGTGTAACACATTGTAGACATAAGACTGTAAGACTCACTGTGTGTGGTGGTACATGTGTAACACATTGTAGACATAAGACTGTAAGACTCACTGTGTGTGGTGTAACACATTGTAGACATAAGACTGTAAGACTCACTGTGTGTGGTGGTACATGTGTAACACATTGTAGACATAAGACTGTAAGACTCACTGTGTGTGGTGGTACATGTGTAACACATTGTAGACATAAGACTGTAAGACTCACTGTGTGTGGTGTAACACATTGTAGACATAAGACTGTAAGACTCACTGTGTGTGGTACATGTGTAACACATTGTAGACATAAGACTGTAAGACTCACTGTGTGTGGTGGTACATGTGTAACACATTGTAGACATAAGACTGTAAGACTCACTGTGTGTGGTATAACACATTGTAGACATAAGACTGTAAGACTCACTGTGTGTGGTATAACACATTGTAGACATAAGACTGTAAGACTCACTGTCTGTGGTGGTACATGTGTAACACATTGTAGACATAAGACTGTAAGACTCACTGTGTGTGGTATAACACATTGTAGACATAAGACTGTAAGACTCACTGTCTGTGTGTGGTACATGTGTAACACATTGTAGACATAAGACTGTAAGACTCACTGTGTGTGGTATAACACATTGTAGACATAAGACTGTAAGACTCACTGTCTGTGGTGTAACACATTGTAGACATAAGACTGTAAGACTCACTGTGTGTGGTGGTACATGTGTAACACATTGTAGACATAAGACTGTAAGAATCACTGTGTGTGGTGGTACATGTGTAACACATTGTAGACATAAGACTGTAAGACTCACTGTCTGTGGTGTAACACATTGTAGACATAAGACTGTAAGACTCACTGTGTGTGGTGGTACATGTGTAACACATTGTAGACATAAGACTGTAAGACTCACTGTGTGTGGTATAACACATTGTAGACATAAGACTGTAAGACTCACTGTCTGTGTGTGGTACATGTGTAACACATTGTAGACATAAGACTGTAAGACTCACTGTGTGTGGTATAACACATTGTAGACATAAGACTGTAAGACTCACTGTGTGTGGTATAACACATTGTAGACATAAGACTGTAAGACTCACTGTGTGTGGTGTAACACATTGTAGACATAAGACTGTAAGACTCACTGTCTGTGGTGTAACACATTGTAGACATAAGACTGTAAGACTCACTGTGTGTGGTGTAACACATTGTAGACATAAGACTGTAAGACTCACTGTGTGTGGTATAACACATTGTAGACATAAGACTGTAAGACTCACTGTCTGTGGTGTAACACATTGTAGACATAAGACTGTAAGACTCACTGTGTGTGGTGTAACACATTGTAGACATAAGACTGTAAGACTCACTGTGTGTGGTGTAACACATTGTAGACATAAGACTGTAAGACTCACTGTGTGTGGTGTAACACATTGTAGACATAAGACTGTAAGACTCACTGTGTGTGGTGGTACATGTGTAACACATTGTAGACATAAGACTGTAAGACTCACTGTGTGTGGTGGTACATGTGTAACACATTGTAGACATAAGACTGTAAGACTCACTATGTGTGGTACATGTGTAACACATTGTAGACATAAGACTGTAAGACTCACTGTGTGTAGTGGTACATGTGTAACACATTGTAGACATAAGACTGTAAGACTCACTGTGTGTGGTGTAACACATTGTAGACATAAGACTGTAAGACTCACTGTGTGTGGTATAACACATTGTAGACATAAGACTGTAAGACTCACTGTCTGTGTGTGGTACATGTGTAACACATTGTAGACATAAGACTGTAAGACTCACTGTCTGTGTGTGGTACATGTGTAACACATTGTAGACATAAGACTGTAAGACTCACTGTGTGTGGTATAACACATTGTAGACATAAGACTGTAAGACTCACTGTGTGTGGTATAACACATTGTAGACATAAGACTGTAAGACTCACTGTGTGTGGTGGTACATGTGTAACACATTGTAGACATAAGACTGTAAGACTCACTGTGTGTGGTGGTACATGTGTAACACATTGTAGACATAAGACTGTAAGACTCACTGTGTGTGGTACATGTGTAACACATTGTAGACATAAGACTGTAAGACTCACTGTCTGTGTGTGGTACATGTGTAACACATTGTAGACATAAGACTGTAAGACTCACTGTGTGTGGTGTAACACATTGTAGACATAAGACTGTAAGACTCACTGTGTGTGGTGTAACACATTGTAGACATAAGACTGTAAGACTCACTGTGTGTGGTGTAACACATTGTAGACATAAGACTGTAAGACTCACTGTGTGTGGTGTAACACATTGTAGACATAAGACTGTAAGACTCACTGTGTGTGGTGTAACACATTGTAGACATAAGACTGTAAGACTCACTGTCTGTGGGGTTTTGCTGCACAGCCGATGGGTCCAGCTCCTCGTGTTGAAGGAAGTGCTGCAGCCTCTTCAGTGACACACTGGCCTGTGGGGAGCAACACACAGCCACAGCATTACAACCAACATCACTGCCGTAGCTCAGGTCTACAGGTGCCATTACACCTTATATGAATATGTAATTCAGGGGAGCTTGATTTAAATAAACATTCACACCACTCGGAAGACACACCTTAATAAAGACAAAGGTCGCAAACACCACTTTGTCTAAAATGGTAAATTGTTTCTATTCTTCAAAGATTCAAATAGGAATTATTCGCATTCACTGATTCAATACTTTTTCAAAAGCCCACTTGTCAAGGGAAAATCAGAGCTACCAGCTCAGGGTAAATGCTGAATACATAAGACAATGTGGGTCCAGTACTATCTAGCATAGAGACTAAAGTGTTGACAATTTGAGGGGAGATAACTCTATCAACCTTAATGTATATGGTAGCAATAAGGGGAAGACCATTTGATCATGAAATGAACAGTATGTCATTAACTGATGGTGATATAAGAGATAATTCAACATAAAACACTGATAATGAATGACGATCATTAAATTATAGATCACAGAGATGACTTGCCACTGGAATAGTCTGACATGATACGAGGGGAACATATTCTGTTGCTATGACTGACATGTTCTGTTGCTATGACCGACACGTTCTGTTGTTATAACCAACAGGATTGTTGCTCTGACTGACACGTGTTGCTATGACCGACACATTCTGTTGCTATGACCGACACGTTCTGTTGCTGACTGATATATTCTGTTGCTATGACTGATATGTTCTGTTGCTATGACTGACATCTTCTGTTGCTCTGGCAGACACGTTCTGTTGCTATGACTGACACGTTCTGTTGCTATAACCGACAGGATTGTTGCTATGACTGACATGTGTTGTGATGACCGACATGTTCTGTTGCTATGACTGATATGTTCTGTTGCTATGACTGACACGTTCTGTTGCTATGACTGACATGTTCTGTTGCTATGACCCACATGTTCTGTTGCTATGACTGACATCTTCTGTTGCTTTGACTGACATGTTCTGTTGCTATGACTGACATGTTCTGTTGCTATGACTGACATGTTCTGTTGCTATGACCCACATGTTCTGTTGCTATGACTGACATCTTCTGTTGCTTTGACTGACATGTTCTGTTGCTATGACTGACATGTTCTGTTGCTATGACTGACATGTTCTGTTGCTATGACTGATATGTTCTGCCGCTATGACTGACATGTTCTGTTGCTATGACTGACATGTTCTGTTGCTATGACTGACATCTTCTATTGCTATGACTGACATCTTCTATTGCTATGACTGACATGTTCTGGTGCTATGACTGACATGTTCTGTTGCTATGACTGACATGTTCTGTTGCTATGACTGACATCTTCTATTGCTATGACTGACATGTTCTGGTGCTATGACTGACATGTTCTGTTGCTATGACTGACATGTTCTGGTGCTATGACTGACCTGGACGATGTTGGTGATGACCTGGGGCAACATGGAGAGAGGAAATCGGAGAATATTGAACAGTGACAGCGACACAAAGGCCTTCTCCGCATCCAGGACATTGTTGGAGTCCGACATCACATAGACAGCAAACGTTGTCAGGGAAACCTGGGCAAGGTTAACAAGCAGCATTAACCAGAAATCGGAGGATCACTGACACAGGCTAGAACTCGTCAGCTCTTAATTGTAATACAGAAGTTGTTCATCTATAAATTCTTATCCTTACTTACGTCAGCTGGAGACATCTACCACAAGCAACACACTGTGGGATAAACTGTCTCACTAAGCAGATTAGTTTGTTTCTTTCTTTTTTAACGCCACACTCAGCAATATTCCAGCCATATGACAGAGGTCAGTAAAAAATATTGACCAGACAATCCAGTGACTGTCATGAGCATCGATCACAAATTTGGGATCGATGACATGCATCAACCAAGTCAGCGAGTCTGACCACCCGATCCCGTTAGTTGCCTCTTACAGCACCTAGCAGTCATGTAAGTAACCTGCACACAGATATAGGCGACCTAACACTGGAGAGAGAGATATATATGATTTGCTGAAGTGGCTGTCATGTGCAAGACTAAGGGAGGTAACTCCGGCATGTGGACTGACCATGAAGGGGGCTGTGGTCCAGGTGAAGGAAGACAGCGCCTGCAGGTAGGACGACTTCTTCAGCACATCCAGCTCTTTGTTCCGGATGTCTAGGATCTTCTTCTGGAACGATGGCTCCCATGCATACAGCTTCAGCACCTGCACGGGAAACACATCAAGAATCTCACCTGTCTTTTGCTATCAAATTTATCATGATATAAAGTTTATAACACCAAGACTTACAGTCATATTTTGAAATATGACATAACAGATGAGAAATGACAGCCATTGTAACATATCCACCACATATATCGTTGGAAACATTGCAAAATAATTTTTCTTAAACAGAGACATATTTTGATGGTTTTAAATCTTGTTGCGAAGATTCTATTAAAACTTTCCTAAACCTTTAATTTTTTACATTAGCCCATACACTACAAGTGATATCTGCAGTGGAAGCCAGTTTGGGATGATAAATATACTTGATGGATAAAAGGAGCTAAAACAGTTTTTACAATGTTTCAAGAATGTTTTTTATGGTAAAGGAGATGTTTATGAGTGCAATAGACACCATTGTAACCATGTGGGGATCAAACCCGGCTCACTTGTGTGACGAGAAAACGCCTTAACTACTGGACCACCACAATGCCTACCCCTAGAATGAACACTGTTGACTTGTCTCCACAAGCAATCATCAAAGCACTACCTATTAAATGATTTGTTCGTTAGTTGTTTAATGCCGCACTCAGCAATATTACAGCTTTATGCGGTCTGCAAATAATTGAGCCTGGACCAGGCAATCCAGTGATTAATATCATGAGCATCGATCCACGCAATTGGGATATGATGACATGCATTAACCAAGTCAGTGAGCCTGACCACCCAATCCAGTTAGTCGCCTCTTACAACACGACACACATAGTCGCCTCTTACGACACGACACGAATAGTCGCCTCTTACGACACGACACGAATAGTCGCCTCTTACAGCACACATGGGTTACTGAAGACCTTTTTTACCCCGGATCTACACGGGACACTTATTTAATGACAGAAAGCTGGTTCTTGTTCAGTTACTAAGCCGGGCAGTCTCACCTTGATTCCATTGAGGACTTCATTCATCAGTTTGATCCGCTTGTCCTTCAACGCCATTTGTTGAACCTAAAATACAGAAACACAAATATCAACAAAGGCAAACAAGGAACCAGTACTTAATAAAACTCCAAAATTATTATGCACTAAATAAAAAAGGACTGAAATAAACAAATCTGGATTCAAATAAACAAATCTCGATTCAAACCCATCATCAGCAGATACTTGAACGACTAAGGGAGGGAACTCCACACAGCTGACAGCAGCACCTTAAGACCACTGTGACACCATCAGTAAAATACATCTGTACCACAACTATTTCACACTAATTCTTTACATAATATTATTATAGTTTAAAAAAAACAAAACTACTTGTCATGACTACTTATCATCTAAATTATCTCTGAGTGGTTTGGAGGCACAGGTGGCCCAGTGGTCTGAGGTGCCAGGTTTTGTTGTGCAGAGTTGTCTCCCCTAGGCATGCCAGAAGCCAAAGATGATAGGTTTGCCCTGGCCATGTTCCTCTGTCTGTCACTTTATACATGTAATTATAGGTTTCATCAAAGTGGTAAACATCTTAGACCTTAAATAACATAACTGTTCAAAGAGAAGTTAAACCAAACTCACTCACTCACTCAGATCAATAGTTTACACAAAATCACTATATTTTTTAAAGTGAGTCAGTAAGTGAGTGAGTGAGTGAATATGGTTATACGCCGATTTTAACAATATTCCAGCAATATCACGGCGGGGGACACCAAAAGCAGGCTTCACACATTATACCCATGTTGGGAATCAAACCTGGTCTTCAGCGTGATGAGTAAATGCTTTAACCACTTGGCTACCCCACCGCCCCTTAATTTTTAAAGAAACCACCAATCCTTACATTTCACTGGTTTTGGTTGTTGTGTGGCTGAGACACTGCCGCTGCGACAACAGATTTGAACTCACTCACTAGTCATGGACTACTGGGTTGAGTGAGTGAGTGAGTGAGTTGGGTTTAACGCCGCTTTTAACAGTATTCCAGTTATATCACGGCATGTCAGCTTATTGTGGGAGGAAAGCCCGAAGTGATGCAGGTCTCAGACGTTTACCACTTCGGTGAAACCCACGAGCACGGGTATGGTGCTGACAAACCTAGAAACATAATCAAGGCGAACCGGGATTCGAACCCACATTCATAGGTTTCTGGCGTGCCCAAGGGACGCAACTCTGCACACGAATCGCGGCGCCTTAGACGACTGGTCCACCCGTGCCCCCACTACTGGGTTGTGTTAACCTGTGAAAAACCCAGTGGTTCCTCCTACCTGAAGGTTCTTGGTCTTGTTGGCGATGACAGCGTTGACGGGGATGAGGAGGACCATGACGCCCACACCTGCCATGATGGACGGCCCCAGGGTCTGCCACAGGAAGTAGAGAGACACGGAGATCTGGAAGGGGGCGGACCAGATCATGTGGAAGTAGGTCGTCAGGTCCATGAACCGCTGAGCATCCACAGACATTAGGTTTGTGATTTCACCGACCGTGGATGTTTTCCTTGCAGAATTGGACAACTTCAACGTCTGAAAGGAACAATAATCTCCTACACTGTCTAGTAGCACGACCAACAGCTGATTTTTCCTTGCATGAGAAACTAACTAACCAGGAGGGAGTCTTATGAATTGGGCACAAGTCATCACTCAAGTAGAAAAATATTCAAGTACTCAGAAATCACTTTTTTCTCTCCGGATTCCACAGCCATGATGACCACGTTTGACTTCATCATGAGAACTTGCCTTTCTGGATTCCACAGCAATGATGACCACGTTTGACTTCATCATGAGGACTTACCTCTCCGGATTCCACAGCCATGATGACCATGTTTGACTTCATCATAAGGACTTACCTCTCCGGATTCTACAGCCATTATGACCACGTTTGACTTCATCATGAGGACTTACCTCTCCGGATTCTACAGCCATGATGACCATGTTTGACTTCATCATAAGGACTTACCTCTCCGGATTCTACAGCAATGATGACCATGTTTGACTTCATCATGAGGACTTCCCTTTCCGGTTTCCACAGCCATGATGACCACGTTTGACTTCATCATGAGGACTTTCCTCTCCGGATTCCACAGCCATGATGACCATGATTGACTTCATCATGAGGACTTACCTTTCCAGATTCCACAGCCATGATGACCATGATTGACTTCATCATGAGGACTTACCTTTCCGGTTTCCACAGCCATGATGACCATGATTGACTTCATCATGAGGACTTACCTTTCCAGATTCCACAGCCATAATGACCATGTTTGACTTCATCATGAGGACTTACCTTTCCGGTTTCCACAGCCATAATGACCATGATTGACTTCATCATGAGGACTTACCTTTCCAGATTCCACAGCCATAATGACCATGATTGACTTCATCATGAGGACTTACCTTTCCAGATTCCACAGCCATAATGACCATGATTGACTTCATCATGAGGACTTACCTTTCCAGATTCCACAGCCATAATGACCATGTTTGACTTCATCATGAGGACTTCCCTTTCCGGTTTCCACAGCCATAATGACCATGTTTGACTTCATCATGAGGACTTCCCTTTCCGGTTTCCACAGCCATGATGACCATGATTGACTTCATCATGAGGACTTACCTTTCCAGATTCCACAGCCATAATGACCATGTTTGACTTCATCATGAGGACTTACCTTTCCGGTTTCCACAGCCATGATGACCATGATTGACTTCATCATGAGGACTTACCTTTCCGGTTTCCACAGCCATAATGACCATGATTGACTTCATCATGAGGACTTACCTTTCCAGATTCCACAGCAATGACGACCACATTTGAATTCCTCAGAAGGACTTACCTTTCTGTACACTGCAGCAATGATGACGGTCCTGAGCCTCATGCCCAGGACAAGGCAGCCATGGAAGTACTGGTGGAGGATGAGGGACTGAACTAGAGCCACTAATACAAGCAACACTGAATACAGGTAGCCTCTCCATAGCATCTCATCCTTGTTCTTGGTGAAGTTGATGAGGAGTCTGGAAGAGTGAGTGAGTGAGTGAGTGAGTGAGTGAGTGGGTGGGTGGGTGGGTGGGTGAGTGAGTGAGTGAGTGAGTGGGTGGGTGAGTGAGCGAGCAAGGGGAGCGAGGGAGCGAGGAAAGCCTGACATGATGCAGGTCTTAGATGTTAACCACTTTGGTGACACTCGCATGCATGGGTACAGTGCTGACAAACCTAGAATCATAATTGGGGCAAATCGGTGATTCGAACCAATGATCATAGGTGTCTACAAGAACTCTACAAGAACTCTGCACAGCTTATTTCAGCTATCAATACATCACAGTGGAGAGGGTCTGCTGTTGATTCCATCGAAACAGCATCACCTTCTGACACCAAGAATGGGCCTTACACATTGCAATGCATGTGGGAAACAAAAACAGATTATTCTCATTAACAAGCAAACATTTCAACAGTGAGACTTCCCAATCTTAACTTCTTGAGTGGCATTTAGAAGTTGGAGTACTAAGTAAGGACAAGATATATGGGTGAACAACTTCTTCATTACAATTAGGAGCAACGTTTCGGTGTCAGTTCTAACACCGTTATCAAGCAAGTGATGTACAGGGTATGACTGACAAGCATATACACAGGCATGATGCAGTGTTTATACAGTTGAGTAGATTGGGATGTAGTTACACTGGAGTGGAGAAGCCTGTTATGTACACCAAAAAGGGGTGATATAAGGTTAACATCTTAACAGGCAAAGCCAGTAGTACAAACAAAAGGATTAAGACTGATTTGATGAGTTGATGGTATGGAGGGGGTATGTAATAGCTTTGATCACGGTTGATTGATGGTTGGAGTCTTTTGATGTCGCTCCTATTTGTAATAAAGAAGCTGTTCATCCATATATCTAAGTCTTACTTCCCAATTTTAGCCACAGTCAACAAGGTGTAGGGTAACCATTACATGACTGCTGAATTGTTAGCAGACTAAGAATATTTTGCTTGGAGTGAGTGAGTGAGTTGGGTTTAACGCCGCTTTTAACATTATTCCAGTTATATCACGGCGTGTCAGCTTAATGTGGGAGGAAAGCCCGAAGTGATGCAGGTCTCAGACGTTTACCACTTCGGTGAAACCCACGAGCACGGGTATGGTGCTGACAAACCTAGAAACATAATCGGGGTGAACCGGGATTCGAACCCACAATCATAGGTTTCTGGCGTGTCCAGGGGACGCAACTCTGCACAGCGAATCGCAGCGCCTTAGACGACTGGGCCACCCGTGCCCCCGTCCTTTGCTTGGAAAGACATACAAGACTACGACTCCCTGTAAAGTCAAACAAATCGAAGCTCTAATTCACCCTTCTACAATAATGTCAGATGTGAGAAATAACAAATCTGCAGAAATGGTTCCTATAGCATTTCACCAAGTCTGCATAATTTTCACCTGAAAATCGTGACATTAATGTAAGCATGAAACTATTGTCAAAATGCGAGTGTCCCTTACTCGTATTAAAAAAGTGACATATTTTCATCCGGACATATTGGAGGTTATTGTCATGTCAGGTTCACTGCACATGGGCAGAAACAATGACATACACGACAGCGAGAACTTGTATCTGATTTTAATGACATTGAGGTAATCAAAGAATGTAATTAATCCTGTTTTCTATATCTAAAGCATTAATTGCTTTTTGTTAAGCAAGTTTATCTCTGCAGCCGTTGTAATATGCAGCTACTAGCCGACTGGTCTCGCATCAACACTTGGAGCCTGGGCAATCTTTGTCTGTGACCCAAGCTACCTCATTAGCATATGCAATATTGGGAATTTCCTGCATTGATTTCATGGATGTTGTATCACATGTCAAGCAGTTGAAGTTATGTTAGTGAAGATAGCAAATGATATCATTCAATCAGTTGCTCTCATCTCATCCCACATAATAGAAGTCTATGTCGACAGACTTGGTGATATCGTTTTATAATTATATCTCATGATGCATTTTAGGCCAGGGACACTCAAAATAATTTGCTGACATATTAATTTCAAGATGTACAAATATTCAGCTCAGTTTGTATACCCATGCACATCATTTTTCACTTACTTGAGCAGCTGTGGGTTGACAAACAGCAGGATGTCGTGGATGAGTTTGTACCCTGCTGCCATCAAGAAGAACCCCATGAAATTCTTCACTAAACTATGAAGTAGCCTTGGCTTCAGGACCTTATTGCTTCCATCTGTGACCTTGACATCCGGGTTGACCTCCGTGTACACCTCACCATCTTGGTATCGAGTCTTCAAACCATTAACAGGTTTGATGAGTCGTGCATTATGTCTGTGAATAATGGGCAACAGTTACACAGATATTCATACCACCTCACATTTAGCATGTACTGTTATCTGATTAGCATGTACACATAACAGACAATAGCTTGATGGCATAGATGGATTGAATTAGTGAAGATCAAGATGGGACAGATGGAATGGGATTCACGGATGGATGGAATAGTGGGAACTGATGGATGGAATAGTGGGAACTGATGGATGGAATAGCAGGAATTGATGGATGGAATAGTGGGAAATGATGGATGGAATGTTGGCAACTGATGAATAATATATAGTGGGAAAAATTGTGAGAATAGATGGAAGGATTGAATAGTGGGAATTGATGGATGAATAGATGGAATAGTGGGAATTGATGGATGAAAAAGTGGGAATTGATGGATGGAATAGTTGGAATCGATTGATGGAATCGCAGGAATTGATGGATAATATATAGTGGGAATTGATGGAAAAAATTGCTGAGAATAGATGGAAGGATGAATAGTGGGAATTGATTGCTGAATAGATGGATTGGTGTGACGGAGTAATGATAAACTGATTGAAATGATAGATAATTATATGGAAGCATATGTGGGTTGACAGATGGATACATGGACAGGATGGATGGATATGGCACCTACTCCTTTGCCTTGGCCACCTCCTTGTCCCAATGCTGCTGGAACTTGGGGAAGACAGTGGCTGAGGTGTCGACGTCATTGAGTGCCCACAGGTCCTTCCTCTCCAGCGCCCGCTTGTAGCCCTGGATCACAAGCCTGTGGAAAAACACCAGCAGCCACACATCAATCAGGATTCCCATGTCAGGGACTTCAGCAGCCACACATCAATCTGGATTCCCATGTCAGAGACTTCAACACCAGCAGCCACACATCAATCAGGATTCCCATGTCAGGGACTTCAGCACCAGCAGCCACACATCAATCTGGATTCCCACTTCAGGGACTTCAGCAGCCACACATCAATCAGGATTCCCATGTCAGGGACTTCAACACCAGCAGCCACACATCAATCTGGATTCCCACTTCAGGGACTTCAGCAGCCACACATCAATCAGGATTCCCATGTCAGGGACATCAGCAGCCACACATCAATCAGGATTCCCATGTCAGAGACTTCAACACCAGCAGCCACACATCAATCTGGATTCCCATGTCAGAGACTTCAACACCAGCAGCCACACATCAATCTGGATTCCCATGTCAGGGACTTCAGCAGCCACACATCAATCAGGATTCCCATGTCAGAGACTTCAACACCAGCAGCCACACATCAATCTGGATTCCCATGTCAGGGACTTCAGCAGCCACACATCAATCAGGATTCCCATGTCAGGGACTTCAGCAGCCACACATCAATCAGGATTCCCTTGTCAGGGACACCAGCAGCCACACATCAATCAGGATTCCCATGTCAGGGACATCAGCAGCCACACATCAATCTGGATTCCCATGTCAGAGACTTCAACACCAGCAGCCACACATCAATCAGGATTCCCATGTCAGAGACTTCAACACCAGCAGCCACACATCAATCAGGATTCCCATGTCAGAGACTTCAACACCAGCAGCCACACATCAATCAGGATTCCCACTCCAGGAACTTCAACACCAGCAGCCACACATCAAACAGGATTCCCATGTCAGAGACTTCAACACCAGCAGCCACACATCAATCAGGATTCCTATGTCAGGGACTTCAACACCAGCAGCAACACATCAAACAGGATTCCCATGTCAGGGACTTCAACACCAGCAGCAACACATCAAACAGGATTCCCATGTCAGGGACTTCAACACCAGCTGCCACACATCAATCAGGATTCCCACTCGAGGAACTTCAACACCAGCAGCCACACATCAATCAGGATTCCCACTCCAGGGACTTCAACACCAGCTGCCACACATCAATCAGGATTCCCTTGTCAGGGACTTCAACACCAGCAGCCACACATCAATCAGGATTCCCACTCCAGGGACTTCAACACCAGCTGCCACACATCAATCAGGATTCCCACTCCAGGGACTTCAACACCAGCAGCCACACATCAATCAGGATTCCCTTGACAGGGACTTCAGCTGACACCATTCAATCAGTATTTCGGGGCGGTCGGGTAGCCTAGTGGTTAAAGCGTTAGCTCTTCACGCCGAAGACCCGGGTTCGATTCCCGACATGGGTACAATGTGTGAAGCCCATTTCTGGTGTCCCCCGCCGTGATATTGCTGGAATATTGCTTAAAGCGGCGTAAAACCTTACTCACTCACTCACTCATTCACTCAATCAGTATTTCAGTTATATCACGGCACTATGATTTTCAAACTATGACAGTGTATTTCCCACTGACAATTTGTAAAATCTGTTTCTCACATCATAACTAGAATTTCAGGACACGTAACAAATAAATTACATCCTCAATCAGCTTCAATCAGAGTGATGGTGTGACGACTGACGTGAAGGTGAGATGGCCGAGTGATGACTACAACTCACCCTGTGAACCACCAAAAGGTGAGATGGCCAAGTGATGACTACAACTCACCCTGTGAACCACCAAAAGGTGAGATGGCCGAGTGATGACTACAACTCACCCTGTGAACCACCAAAAGGTGAGATGGCCGAGTGATGACTACAACTCACCCTGTGAACCACCAAAAGGTGAGATGGCCGAGTGATGACTACAACTCACCCTGTGAACCACCAAAAGGTGAGATGGCCGAGTGATGACTACAACTCACCCTGTGAACCACCAAAAGGTGAGATGGCCGAGTGATGACTACAACTCACCCTGTGAACCACCAAAAGGTGAGATGGCCGAGTGATGACTACAACTCACCCTGTGAACCACCAAAAGGTGAGATGGCCGAGTGATGACTACAACTCACCCTGTGAACCACCAAAAGGTGAGATGGCCGAGTGATGACTACAACTCACCCTGTGAACCACCAAAAGGTGAGATGGCCGAGTGATGACTACAACTCACCCTGTGAACCACCAAAAGGTGAGATGGCCGAGTGATGACTACAACTCACCCTGTGAACCACCAAAAGGTGATCTGGGACAGGAAGGACACATTCATCTCCGGGCATGGGTTCTGCAACACAAAATATATCATTCATCGATCTCCAGAAACTACGCAGCATAACCGATGATTTACCATGTTTACTAACCTCATTTTCCATTCATGTGCAGTGTTTGAAATATTTTTAAACCCAACAAGACAGTCGGGCAGGGCCCAATAAGTGTTGCCTGCCCATCTTCAAAGTTACCTGCCTGCATTCAGACATAATAAATATTGAAAAATTGCAAAAACAATTAGAGACAAATTACATCTTGATTCAGTTGAAATAATTCAAACAATCACTTGAGAATCTACAAGAATTTATAATAAAATTGAATACGTAAATAATCTTTAAACTTTCTGCCAGACAGTCAGGCAGGTGGAGGAGTGAGTGAGTGAGTATGGTTTTACGCCGCTTTTAGCAATATTCCAGCAATATCACGGCGGGGGACACCAGAAATGGGCTTCACACATTGTACCCATGTCGGGAATCGAACCCGGGTCTTCGGCGTGACGAGCGAACGCTTTAACCACTAGGCTACCCGACCGCCCCGGCAGGTGGAGGAAGATTTCATGCAGCCTGACACAAAAGTTACCAGCTACGGACAGGCAGTTATTTCAACACTGTGAATGTGAATGAATTATTGCACAAGATGGTGATCCATTATATATTCTTGACATGACAAAGTATCAAGTACACCAAGATCATACTTGACAACATGACATACCGCCGTCTTCTTTGTGGCATCTGCATTAGCCGGTGTTCTATCTACACAAGCTGCTAGTATCAACTGGGCTATCACTAGAGGGAAGTAGATCTTATACGTCACAAACCGGAACATGTCATCTACACCCTGAAAAACATACAATGTTGTTGTAGCCATATGAAGGTGGAACATTAGTAATTGAGGCAGGTTGACCAGGAAACCCTGGTCGATGGTGTGACGAACTGCCCACCAGGGGACCTGTGCTCGAAATGAGGGGGACCTCGGGTCTTTATGGAGAAAATACATTGCAAAACTGTTAATATCATCATTTTGTAGACCATCTGATGTGCAGGTCATTTGTGAATATATTTTTAAGATGTGTATCATACTGTTTTCTGTCATATACATCAGAAAACATGGACTATCATGTAACTTTTTAGTCTTAGTAGGGGGTGCTCATAAAGATTACTTAGTTTGGTCTAAACTTAAGTCACAGGCGCTTATTGGAACAGGAGGCCTATTATGGCTAACAACTAACTATGACAGTTCATGTTGAATGACTGTGGTACAGAAAATTATTGATATAAACTTAAGTATTTTACAATGTCAATATACTTTTGAGACAGGCAGCAACGCTGGCCTAAACAAAAAACCTGATTGGATACATGGGAAGGTGTATCATGTATTGTACTGCCAGGTTATGACTCACCTGACTGACTGCATGTCGTATATTCGACTGATACGTCAAGATGGCTGCCAGGAGCAGCAGCAGCCAAAAGTTGAAGAGAAACCCGGATGTTCGGATTCCTTTCTTTCTTTCAAAGTGGACTAGGAAGCAAAACAACACCTGGAACAGAGAACAGTACACTGTTAAAACCGTCACAATTGTCCTTCACCTTCTCATGAGGTTGCCCAAGCAAGACTATATATCATGGTGAGACATATTTAAGAATATGAGTACGAAAACTTTCATCCATTCTTGGAAATATCAGTGTGAATGAGTTGGGTATAAAGCTGCTTTCAGAAGTAGTGAGGTGAGGTGAGGTGAGGTGAGGTGAGGTGAGGTGAGGTGAGGTGAGGTGAGGTGAGGTGAGGTGAGGTTTAACAACGCGTTTAAGATTATTGCACTTTTATAGTGACGTGCATGCACATGTGTGTGTGGCTGCTTGTACTAGTCCGGATTAATAGAGCTAGCCTACTGAGGAGTTATCATGCTGCTGTTAACAAGGATACCCAACTCCAACAGTATACATACTCCAAGTTGACCAGTCCTCGTTTTATACCCAAATACCTTACGACAAAGGAAGCCAAAAATGTGTTTCATGTTTGTGATGATAGGCGGCCTATCGAAGAACGAAACCCAGACTGTCTGTGTGACACAATGAACCACTGCCCAATCAAATTTCTACATGGTATGATCACTGTTGCCATGGAAACCATACTTACCATTGTTAGAAATAAGACAAGAGGGGATATGAAGTAGACAGGGGGAACCGACTTCCCGTCCGTCATCTCATGGACACTGCGGAAAATGTCAGCCAAAGCGATGACCCCGATCAAGCTGGCCAGGACCTGTAATATTCAACTGCATGGTGACTGCAATTACAATTTCACAACATCAAATTTATTGCCATTATCTGTGATTAAAACTATCTGAAGTTAAATATTATCCTCACCATGATTGCAGGTACATGTTATAAAAAATTGATAATAATAATTTCATCTTTCTCAAAACTATACCTACAAAACATTACAAAAGAATCACAAAGAATGTATATTGTACTGCAAGTACTACAAGTTCAATTAAAAAAAAGTCCAAAGAGCAGTGCTAAGTGGTTAGCAGAAACATCAAACACATGATAAAATCGAAAAAGGTCACGTGACCCTTTTAAATGAAACCAACAAGCACAGGTATGGTGCGGACAAACCTGGAAACATAATCCGGGCGAACCTGGATTCGTCCTACAATTATAAATGTCTGGTGTGTCCAGGGACGCATCTCTGCACAGCGAATTATGGAGGCCTTAGACGACTGAGTCATCCGCGCCTCCAGTGATATATGAGTGTGAGTGAGTGAGTTGGGTTTAACGCCGCTTTTAACAGTATTCCAGTTATATCGCGGCGTGTCAGCTTAATGTGGGAGGAAAGCCCGAAGTGATGCAGGTCTCAGACGTTTACCACTTCGGTGAAACCCACGAGCACGGGTATGGTGCTGACAAACCTAGAAACATAATCGGGGCGAACTGGGATACAAGCCCACAATCATAGGTTTCTGGCGTGGCCAAGGGACGCAACTCTGCACAGCGAATCGCGGCGCCTTAGACGACTGGGCCACCCGTGCCCCCCAGTGATATAATTTGCTGTACCAGAAAATATTTCAACCCCAAAGATCTGCAAACTTACAAGTTTGGCAATATTGTAGCCCCACCATGATATGGGCCCCTTGCTGCTGTTCCTGAGGGAGAAGATCCTGTAAGGGGCGATGAGCGCCAGGAAGCCACACGGCACCCACAGGAGGACGGTTCTCTGGAAACATTGTGTCAGGTCGGGGTCCGTTGTGTTCACCGAGACGGCAGGATCCTGAAATAAAACATAGCCATGAACATTTGTTCGCCAACACACCTTGATATTGTCATGGCTGCAACGGAATAATTATTTACTTAAAAGAGGTTTGCCAAATAGCACTAGCTGAACCTTTTCAACGGCCATGGTGACACACTGAAGTCATTTAAACAGGCTATAAACAATGATAAATGAATAGTTGAGAACAACATCAATGAGGCGAGATTTGCGCAGCTTTCCAATTGCATGTCTTCTCCAACTCTGCTGGCTCCATCAGTGTATCAGCAGGATCGGTATCAGCAGGATCACACTGGCAGTAACAAGTCCAGACAGATTGTGTGTAATCAACCGTAGCTAGTGCCATCCAATACACAATGTTGTGTTAGTTATCCAGGAAAATCTTGTGGAGCGTAAAAAAATAAGGCTGTGTTTGAATCATTAAATTTGTCAAAATAGTAAATTTCATGCTGCCATGTCATTAAGTGACATTGGTAATCTGGTAAGAAATACACTTCAAGTTCAAGGTGTCAGTGGCTGATTTACCTTACAGTTTACTCTTACAATGAAAGCCCAATTTTAAATAAGTTTAAGGCTTCTGAGCATGTGCAAAGATATGGCATCAGAATGATTCTATGAAATCAAGTGAAGGGTGCCAGTCTCTAACCCCATGACCATGCATTGGACCCCCAAAATCATTAGTGAGAGTCACCTGCACTTGAAAAGAGATAGACACAGGCAAATCCATGCAAGTCACAATCAGCATTCATATTCATTTCTGAAAAGAGCATCCGCAACTTAAATCGGTTAAATAGTAACCATGGTAAAGTGGTAATATTTACATAATGATTAAATGATGAACATGTACTGGCATGAATTCATTACTGAAACAAGACTATCATGGCAATGATCACATGATATGCAAATAGTCTGCACTCTAGTAGACATTTAGTCTCTGAAATCTTATATTACACAATATCCTTCTTGACTCTAAAAAAAAAATATGTCCCTATGCTGATTTCATATGTGGAATAGAGCTAGCTAGAGCTGGCTAGACTTGCTTTTGTATGTGTTTCTAGATTTATTTGTTTTCATTAAATAAATATATTCCACGGTCATGGTGCAGGACTATAACACTAGAAGCAACATGTTTTTCTTTGCCAGTTGTCCAGGGTGCTAGTGCAAACAGTAGAGTCAATCTTTTATAATGTCTATGGTCATGTGACCAATACGAATCACACTTAGAATCTTCATACATGTTGACCATCCAACCCACATCAGCTACTGGGGCCTATCCTGACTTGGAATATCTGGGGGAGTTCATAAACACTAAACAGACATACCGAGTAACTTATAATGAAAATGCAAAACTATCACTCTCACATTCAGTATAGTAAAATTAATCGGATGAACCAGAAGTAAGTGTTAGGTTGAACCAGAACAACAGCATACACAACATGCCAATCACCCTCCTGTTGACAGTAGCTGCTGACACATTTCATCACTGCCATACTCATGTCGCCAGCAGTTGTTTATTAATTTCGTTGCTGCACATATGCCCCTGGAAATAGTTTCCGCGAACTATACACAACACTGAGTCAGGTAGCTGGGTCGACACTTAAACATGTTACAATTATGCATGTAAACATATCAAGCCTTTAACAAATACCGATGAAATGAAAGCCAGCTACTCCCTCAGTTGTAAATCTGTATAAAATCCTGTGGATGTTTCACGCCTACACACAGGATGATCAGAAACTGGTTTTACACTCAGCAATAATTACTCTCCTGGGGACATGGGAAGGGAGAGCAGCATTAGTCAGTTATTTAAACTAGAAACGCTCTGGGGGTATTGCTGTTTTGTTTGAAATTGCTTACTCTTGTTGAAAACACACATGTTGATATATTGAATAGATTTTACGAAAGGATGTGTAAGCTATTTTCATGATTGTTTAATGAATTCGGACGTGAAGCCATTATGACGTACAACAGCTGACATGACAGATTACCACTGTTAAGGACAAATAATCGCTTCAATGTTTTGATCATATAATGTATAGTGGCTTATTCATCACAAGTTTTATCTTGAGTAACAGGACACCAAAGTGGTATTAAACATGTTAAAAGAATCAATTACGATTTCATAAAAACTGAAAAACAAACGTATGTGGCCAATCTTCAATACAAAGTGACACACACGATACGATTCTGATGTCGACGGTATAGGATGTCATTTGCAAACAGTTTTTTAAAATATATATTTACTTATTTACTTTTATGACTATGAATTTTAAATCAACACACAAACACACATTTTGCCAAAAGAATATGCACACGAACGAATAGAAATAATGATGTTTTCTTATGTCAGAGTGAGTGAGTGATTATTGCTTAATGCTGCATCAACAATCTTGCAGCTATTACCGCGGAATACTTACATTGGACTGTTCTATCCAAGTGTCATGGATGTGCAGTGTTCAAAATTAATGGAATCCTTGAAGTTTGCTGCAAAAGGCGTTGAATCTAGTGACACCCTAAATTGTATACATTTAGAATTAGGGTTATGGCAAGGACCCGATTTTATATGCAGGCTTATCAAAAACACTGACATGGTCCAAATATTTTAAATAATCAAATACTATTATTTAGATCTACCCGATTTTGTCATGTGACTGTAGTTAGTCTGTCATCAAATCAGGTGAGCACTTTGATTAAAAACAGGAAAAGATTTGGAAAATATCTGTTGACGCTAAGTACAAAGGTTTTGCAAAGTCTGAACTACAGTTTACAAACCGGATGTTGATTTCGTTACGCCATTCTGATTGAACTATGCATAGACTCATTAGTCCAGCCAAAATTTAACTCCACAATTGCAGCCTAGTTCGGCAAGGGTAGAAACTGGACTTTTATAGTCAGTGAACTCCCTTGCCTCGGGAAGATGACGACAGTGTGTGCTGAATCACAAATATCTGTGTGGAAATTACTCAGTATAATCACTCCTGAAACTGAAGTGACTGACAATATAATATGGCTTTTTGTGAGCATGGCCTACATTCCACTAGCAACTTCTACTGACGTCAGGCTGGCAGGATAGAGTCAGTTAACTTTAAGCACTGATAATTCTGGTCACACCAGAAATCAGTTAACAAATCCCAGTGTTAGAAATTGGTACTAGTCCTATAGTCCTTGTCTAACTGGATTCATAAGGACCAGTAGTAATTTTTCCCTTTTTAAGGGTTTCACTATATGTCATCATTATAAGGACTAGTGGACTTAAAAACAGTTTGTTTCTTTCGTTTAAATCCTAAATTAGAAATTTATATTTACTTTTCAAAATGGAAGATAACATCAGACAGAGGGAATGAAAATATCACTTCATAACTGTTACATCACAATATCACACAACCTTTTTATTACAATCCGGGGAGGTCTGGTAGCCTAGTGGTTAAAGCGTTTGCTCATCATCCCGAAGGCCCAGGGTCGATTCCCGACATGGGTACAATGTGTGAAGCCCATTTCTGGTGTCCCCCGCCGTGATATTGCTGGAATATTGCTAAAAATGGCGTAAAAAAATACTCACTCACTATTCCAATCCTATTTGACCCATGAAGATCCGGGGTAGAATAGGTCTTCAGCAACCCATGCTTGCTGTAAAATGCATCTGTGCTTGTCGTAAGAGGTGACTAACAGGATCAAGTGGTCATGCTCGCTGACTTGGTTGATGCATGTCATCGTATCCCAATTGCGTGGATCAATGCTCACGATGTCAATCACTGGATTGTCTTGTTCAGACTCGATTATTTACAGACAGCCGTCATATAGTTGGAATATTGCTGAGTGCGCGTTAAACTACAAATAATCAAACAAATACAATCCTATTTTAGGGTTTTATTGGTTAATGTTTCTGGTTTGGGTTTACTCGAGGTAAATTCTAACGTCCACCAGGCCACCCGGCTGTAGATGAGGGAAGATGAGTGAAGATGAGTGAAGATGAGGAAAGATGAGGGAAGATGAGGTAAGATGAGGTAAGATGAGGAAAGATGAGGTAAGATGAGGGAAGATGAGGAAAGATGAGTGAAGATGAGGAAAGATGAGGGAAGATGAGGTAAGATGCGGGAAGATGAGGAAAGATGAGAGAAGATGAGGAAAGATGAGGGAAGATGAGGAAAGATGAGTGAAGATGAGGAAAGATGAGGGAAGATGAGGAAAGATGAGGGAAGATGAGGAAAGATGAGGTAAGATGCAGGAAGATGAGGGAAGATGAGGGAAGATGAAGAAAGATGAGGAAAGATGAAGAATGATGAGTGAAGATGAGGGAAGATGAGTGAAGATGAGGGAAGATGAGGGAAGATGAAGAAAGATGAGGAAAGATGAGTGAAGATGAGGGAAGATGAGGAAAGATGAGGTAAGATGAGGGAAGATGAGGAAAGATGATGGAAGATGAGGGAAGATGAGGAAAGATGAGGGAAGATGAGGATTGAGGATAGATAGTCTTAATGGAGCTCATGGGTCACAACTATGAGGAAAGATGAGGGAAGATGAGGAAAGATGAGGGAAGATGAGGAAAGATGAGGAAAGATTAGGTAAGATGCGGGAAGATGAGGGAAGATGAGGGAAGATGAGGAAAGATGAGGGAAGATGAAGAAAGATGAGGAAAGATGAAGAATGATGAGTGAAGATGAGGAAAGATGAGGTAAGATGAGTGAAGATGAGGGAAGATGAGTGAAGATGAGGGAAGATGAAGAAAGATGAGGAAAGATGAGTGAAGATGAGGGAAGATGAGGAAAGATGAGGTAAGATGAGGGAAGATGAGGGAAGATGAGGAAAGATGATGGAAGATGAGGGAAGATGAGGAAAGATGAGGGAAGATGAGGATTGAGGATAGATAGTCTTAATGGAGCTCATGGGTCACAACTATGAGGAAAGATGAGGGAAGATGAGGAAAGATGAGTGAAGATGAGGGAAGATGAGGAAGATGAGGGAAGATGAGGAAAGATGAGGGAAGATGAGGAAAGATGAGG